ATTTCATAAAAAGAACATCATACCAACAGTCAAACATGGTGGTGGTAGTGTGATGATCTGGGGCTGCTTTGCAGCTTCAGGACCTGGACGACTTGCCATAATTGATGGAACCATAAATTCTGCACTCTATCAGAAAATCCTGAAGGAGAATGTCCGGCCATCAGCTTGTGACCTCAGTGTGTATGTGTGTGTGTGTGTGTGTGTATATATATATACACTGCCAAATCTATATACAGTACCTGCATATATATATTGTTGATTTATGAGGGGAAAAAATGGGAAGACTTAATGTTATATATATATAACATTAAGTCTTCCCATTTTTTCCCCTCATAAATCAACAATATATATATGCAGGTACTGTATATAGATTTGGCAGTGCTGTAAACTACCAAACTGTGACAAGACTGCAAACTGCTCTAATTCAGTGTCCATGTTTGCAGCATTATTTGACCTGCATGATTCCTTTAGTGAATCAGGCACTGAAGCAACACAGACAGTGAGACAGTGTGTGCAAAATAAACAGTGCATAGTCAGAGTGTAGGTTTCACACAACGGTTACATTTCTGAATCCTGCGTCTTTGTGGTGAGCTTTTATTGAAATGTGTTTGAGTTGCAGACAAAAGCATGACTCTGAGATGCTGAAAACCTCACACGGAGTTTCAGTTCCACTGCGACTGTCTGAAGCTATTTAAGGGACTGTCAGGCACACTTTGAGGATTCGCCTCTTGCACATACATGTGAGAACGAAAGAAATCAGCCAGAAAACAATCAGCCAGTCTGGCAGCTTTCTGTACATACAACACAGACTCGGTTCTGCCATTACTGCTGAAGTGGATTGTGTACAATCTGTAAACAAATCTTGATACTGGCCTCATTTTCTTCCCAAAGTACCTTAAAAAGATTTGCATTCCACATATAAACTACCTTCATTCCTGAAGGTGTTAAAGTTGAAAGGGGTTTAGTTAACATTAAGAAATGCATCAAAATCTGCACACTGAGGCCAGGGTTTGAGGAAGAAAAGAACCAGATGGGAGGTGTGAACTGCAAATACATTTGACAGAGTTTCTCATACATCTTAAGATGTAGGTGAACAGCCAGCTGTCTCTAAATGTAGGCCGTTTGTGTGTGCTAAAGTGTATTTTAGTGCTCATGCAAATAGGCGTATATGTACAGTTGTGCCATCCACATTTTGTTGGAACAGTGCAGAAATGTAGCCACGGTGCAACATTGCCCAGATGGTTCCTCACATTCACTGTAGCTTTAATTCTTTAACCATATTGTCCACTTTAAAAGCTTCTCCAATCCAGGCTCCTCTGCAGAATCTGTGTTTATGACTGCTCAACGAAGAAACGACCAGAAAGCTAAATTTTTCTGCTTTTCCGAAAGAAGATCATATTTTACGTAATAGCGCATCCATATTTGACATTAAAGACATTTATAATGTTACAAAAGATTTCTATTTCTAATAAATGCTGTTCTTTTAAACTTTCTATTCATCAAAGAATTCTGGAAAAAAAATATATCATTTTTTTTCACAAAAAAATAGTGGTGGACGATATGACCAAAATCTTATATCATGATATGAGTAATTGTATTTAACGGCAAGGATATGTATCACCATATAGTTATTTTTGCTTTAAAGAAGGTCTTTATGATATGAAATTTTTTTATACCATTGAAATTTCATAATTCCTGTCACCATGCAGTGTAAATATCACAAAAAAATAATACTAGCCTAAATAAAAAAAAACTCAAGCTCACTGAAGGCAAGTAAACAGCGAATAAATAAGAATAAGAAACTGATTACATGCAATAGGACAAAAAAAAAACTACAGTAAAACAAATAAATAAGAAATGTTATTGCATAAAATAATCAAATACTGTATATAAAAACACTGCATATTCTTCACTGTGTAAATTAAATATATATTTCTTCTTATTAAAGTTACAAATGTGATTTAGTCCAAGAGCAGTGAGAGATTTTTTTCTCTTTTGTAAGAGCTGCCCACATCCATGTCCCGAGTTCGAATCCCGCCTTGTGGACCTTTCCCGATCTTGCCACCCCCCCATCTCCCACTCGCTTCCTGTCATATATCCACTGTCCTATCAAGAAAAATGCAAAAAAAAAAACTCTGTTCAATACTCCCACGTTCTATGAGCACACAATGTATTCGTGACAACGTAGTACAGCAACGTGACGTGAGCATGTAACCGTGATAGAGATGATAGTCCAAAATTGTATCTACCTGTATATCGCCCACCCCTACGAAAGAATTAGCATTAAGCAATGGTTTTTAACATTGATAATTATAAGAAATGTTTCTTGAGCAGCAAATTAGCATGATTTCTGAAGGATCATGTTAGTGCTGGGCGGTATACCGGTTCATACCGAATACCGGTGTTTATTTTTGTTATGATATGAATTTTTAAAATACCTCAATACTTATGTCGCTTAAACAATGTTTGAAAGGGGTCCCTTTTCACTGTTGCACTGTGGTGAGGGAACAGCTGTATGTGTTACTAAGCGTGAAAGTTCAGAAACTGAAGCTGTAGAACTAATAAGCATTTCCTAGCACCTGTCGCTTACTGATTATTTGGAATTATAAATATGAGCGTAGTTCTACGTAGTAGAGTGTAAACAAACACTTTTTTTTTTAGTCACTCAGAAGCAGGCAGTGCGCTGCATGAGACAAAAAAGAAATATAGCCAAAACAACCGCATAGCCGCCCTTTAGTGTCAATGCATGTTGATTTTATCAGATGATGCCGCGATTATAAATGAGAGTGACTCCTGGTTAACATTTAAAAGGGGTCGTGTTTAGTCACTATTTAGTGTGGTATTTTTTGACAATATTCACTCATCATGGCAGTAAAATAGGGCGTTCTAAGTCAATATACTGCAGTATTTCCTCTCTCAATCAGTAGAAAATATGGTTAACACCCGGTCATGCATGAAAAAAAAATACACCGTCATGTACCGTGAAACCGGTATAATTTTGAAAAATACCGTGATATGCATTTTTGGTCATACCGCCCAGCACTAGATCATGTGACACTGAAGACTGGAGTAATGATGCTGAATAAATTACATTTTAAAAGATATGAAATGGCTGTTTTGGTGAGCATAAGTGACTTGGTGCTGGTGTCCTCATCAGGCTTTTTAACAAACGTACCCCACAAGAGACTTCCTTTATAAACCAACAGCATGGCTGTATTGGGTGACTAGCTAGGCTGAATTCATGAATTCATGCCGGTCTAACCTGGTCTTTTCAACATGGTTGTGATGAGGATGGTTTTTTAAAAAGTTAAAAAATCCACAGTTGCATGAAGATTGAGACAACCAACAGATCCAAAATGGTCCTTTAATACTAGAATCACAGTCTAGATGAAATCAATAAAGAGGCACATTTACAAGAACGGGAAACTCTAAAGAGTGTGCAGTACATACAATACTTTGCATAGACTCAAGTGACTAAGCGTTGCAGGAAATGCAGAACAGGTGTGCATGTGACCATGATTAATAGTGTGCTGTATGGAACTATTGGTTCCATTCATTTTGGAATCCTGGTGAATTTTAAATTTTAATCAAATGTGCGCATTATATTACAGATTGAGCGGCGCCTTGAAAATGTGCGATTTGTCTCCCATAATGTGCACAAGAAGATGGTCATGTGTCTGCAGGGTAACGTGGGTTCAGATGTGGACAAGAGACATGTAAGTAACAGCAGCTTTTACATTTCCAATTCCCTCCAAAGTGCACACTTCTGAATTGTTTTTTTCCTCTTAGAAAAAGCTTCCTGTCACAGCCCTTTCACAATCCATGCTGGATGGAGGAAGTCAGCTCGGAGACGAGTCCCTCATCGGGTGAGTTTATGAACTCTCTGACCCTTTGACAGACATACGTATCCTCCAAAACTATCCCATAATCTGGTCCATCTGAGCTGTGATTCATAACATTAATGAGGGAACTATGAACATTCACTCTTCTCTGAGTCAAACAGAGACAGCGCTTTCAGGGACTGTTTCTGTTCTCATTAGCTATGTGACCAAACATCCCTGAATCATCTGTTTTGTCAGGCAGGCAGTGTATTTACGGGCCTGATCTGTGAAAATATAGAGTGGACGCATCATTATTACCAAACAACATTTGGTAGTCCAGTGAAATTCATAATAGAGTGATGTGACATTAAATTATTATTGTTCATGATGGAATATGTGACCTCATGCTGCTTGATGATGATTGGTTGATAATGTTAGATTAGCAAGAGTACATTGTTTTTTACATTATGCTAGTTGTGTTTGATATTATTTTAAGGAATATCGTACAAGATACTTTATTTCACTCATGTTTTCGTTTATACAATATACAAGTTCTGTTGTGCAGCACCTTTTTACAAAAAATAAAAATGCACTGTTTTGTTGTAAATGTATTTTAATTTATTCAACTTTTTAAAAGATTGATTAAACTGTTAAAAGTCTGATGCATTTATTTCATTAGGCTTATTTAAAAAATAAACACAATTAAATGGTAGCTTATTCAATACATTTTTTTTTATTTTAAACGTGTGCATTGTGAAGTACTAATAAATCATAAACGCAGAATCCCAAAAAATAAATAAATAGAAACATTTTCTAAAATTTTCTAAATTAATATTGTGATAAAAATCAATATTGAATATGGAAAACGATACTGTGATCATATTTTTGGCCATTATGCCCGGCTCTATTATTAGAATCTGTTTAGCATTCAAGAATAATAAACGTGACCAGGCAGCATGATGTTAACAGTTATTGATATTGTATCTACAGAAAGATGATGGAAGTCTGTGGAGAAGCTGAAAGCAAACTGGCCTTGGAGCAGAGCCAACATGAAGTTCAGGTGGAGAGAGATATTCTGGAGCCTCTCAACCAGCTGGCGGAGGTATGTAAAGCCAAAGACATGCAAATAATAATAAATAAAATATGCTGTAAGTTACATATCTTGTTTTTGTGCTTGAAGGTGGATATTCCTAACATCCTGAAGCATAGGAAACATTTAGCTAAGCTTGTGTTGGATTTTGATTCTGCAAAAGCCAGGTGTGTATTTTGCTATAGTATACAGTATATACTATATAGTATTTTAACTAGGATGCATTAAATTGATCAGAAGTGACAGTAAAGATGGTTGTAATGTTGCAAACATGTGACTCTGAAGACTGGAGTAATGATGCTGAAAATTCAGCTTTGCATCAGAGGAATACTGTAAATTACATTTTAACATGTATTCAAATAGAAAACGGTTAATATAAATTGAAACAATATTTCTCAATATTAAATTTTTTACTGAATTTAAATAAATTAGGCCTTGGTGAGCATAAGTGTCTTTGCTAATAATAATAGCGAAAATACTTTAAACTATACAGGTATCAGCAGGCCACAAAGGCATTTCCGACAGCTGCAAATGCTCAAGCAATGGCTGCCAAAGTTGACACACTTAAGGAGGAGATGGATGAAGCTCAGAACAAAATGGAAATATGCAAGGTATGGGTATGAGTCAGACTGTATTGAGGTTTCTAGGTGACCTTGGGTAGCACATTCAATCTCGTCTGATCTCTTTTTATCTTTAGGATCAAGTGGCAGCAGATATGTACAACTTTTCGTCCAAGGAAGGAGAATATGCTTGCTATTATGTGTTGGTAAGTCGTTTCTTAGAGCTTTAACCACATAAGACAAATAATGTCTGATAAAGTTCGATTTTTACTGGTATAATGAATTTAACTTGCAAATAAGGCATGATATTTGATATTTGGAATGATGCAGAAAGTATAACACTGGTTATCACTAAGAAACCGGTCAAAGGTCAGTGGTATTCATAGGTCTTCCTACTATACGCTACTAGTTATCGTCTGGTCAGTGGAGTTCATTTGAATGAATAAAGCTGTTGTTTTATATACTATATTCTACAAAGTGTATAGGCAATTAGTAGATCATTGAGTCATTGACTTTTCCTCTTCTCAGACAAAAATAGAAGAAGAGTAAAGTTTTTGTGTATTTGTCTTGACAGTTGTTAGAAGCTCAAGCTGAATACCACAGAAGAGCTTTGGCGTCCATCGAGAGCGTCCTGCCCACCATACAGTCACAGCAAGGTGTGATATTTACTCTTCACTTCCTACACTGAGCATCTGCTGCATATGAATCACTCACAACACTTCTGAAATCATGGCCTTATTAATAGCTATTAAACACAGAGAATATTTTGGGGGATGTGTTTTGTGTTCTGAAACGGAGGAAATATTTATCTGATCTGTGATCTCTATCATTTCCAAACTTAGTCGCACGTGACTTACTAACTAAAAGAGTGAATCTCACAAAATCTGTCAAGAACATGTTTGCCTGGGGCATATTTCAACCCAAAACCTATAGATATATATACGTGTGTGTGTGTGTGTGTATATATATATATATATATATATATATATATATATATATATAGAACATGTTTTGGTGTATATATGACACACACACACACACACACACGATCTGGCTAGTCATCAAGCTATGAATCATTCTTTCTCTTTCAAGGCTTCCTGGTGACCAGCACTGTAATGTATACTGTTTCACACTGTAAATCATCCTGACTTATAGAATCTGTGCTCCACACATCCACCTAGTGATGATTCATAAATGTTTCCTGCCATAACTCAAATCATTCTCACTTCATCTCATCATCTGACATAGATAAATGGACAGAGAAGCCAGCGTTTGGCACGGCTCTGGAAGAACATCTGAAACGCACTAGCAGAGAGATCGCTCTGCCCATAGAGGCCTGCATTATGATGCTACTGGAAACCGGCATGCAAGAAGAGGTATCTGGCGCTGTGAAACAACACATGAGAACCCACAGATAAAAAGACAAGACGGTTTTCATCCAGAGGGGAAGTGGATGCACTTTGTTACTGCACACACAATGGCAGATAGTTGTGCTCTTCAGGGAAGTGGTCGATATTTCTGCCTTTTGCAAAGGGCACTTTTGTACAGAACTAGTTTTAAATGGATGACATTTATTTGACATGCATTTCAAAACTGAAGTTGCATAAGTGTCAAAATCCAAATAAAAGAGGTTTGCAAGTTAACATTTTATGTTTTCATAAATATAAAGCTTTAAAAACCTGCCTGTATTTACATGTTTGTTGATTTAGCAATCAAGATCTTCTTGATATTTAGCCTTTATTCCTTTTGTCTCAGGTTGGATGGATAGATGAATGGATGCATAGACAGATAGATTGAAGGATGGATGATGGATGGATGGGTGGAGAGATCGTAGATGATAATTAGATGATGGATGGATGGATGGATGGATGGATAGATAGATGGATGAATAGATGAATGGATGGGTTGGAGGGTGGATGAATGGATGATAGATGGGTGGGTGGATAGATGATGGATGGATTGATAGATAGATGATAAAGAGATAATGGATGGATTTATGGATGGACTGATGGACAGATGGATAAATGTTTGAATACATAAATGGATAGATGGGCAGATGGATGGATAAACAGATGCTGGATGGAGGGGTGGGTGGATAGATGATGGATGGATAAATAGATAAAGATATGATGGATGGATGAATAGATGAATGGATAGATGGTTGGAGGGGTGGATGGATAGATGTTTGGGTGGATAAATGGATGAATAGTCAGATGAATGATAGATGATAAATGGATGGGTGGGTAGATGATAGATAGATAGATGATAAATAGATGATGGATGGATAGGTGGACAGATGGATGGACAGATAGATAGATGGATGGTGGATGGATGGATTGATGGATGGAGGGGTGGGTGGATAGATGATTGATGGATGATGGTTGAATAGATAGATAGATAGATAGATAAACTATAGATAGATAGATAGATAGATCTCAACTCAACTCAAGGTTGAGCAACAGATGAGGTCTGGATGACCTTGTTGATTTGTGAGCGTGACACTGTGGCAGTGTATCTGTGTTAGAGACGTCTTCTGATTCACTTCTGCTTCTTGGCTAAAGCCAGACTAATAATAGCAGTGAAACGAGACAATCATTTCCCTGTGAAACCATCACTGACACATATGAAAACAGCCTTTCCAGTCATTTTTTATACATCTCAGTTTATATTGTACTGCACGTTGCAAAGGTCTTGTGTGTTTACAACATTTCCTTTCGTGCCAGGGTTTGTTCCGTATCGCTGCCGGAGCCTCTAAACTGAAGAAGTTAAAGGCGGCACTGGACTGTTCCACTTCCCAACTGGAGGAGTTTTACTCTGACCCTCATGCTGTAGCCGGTACAAGACATTTTTCGTAAATGACACTGTAGAAGGACGCAGTTTGTTTGCAGCTAGTTACAGAGATTTGAGCATCTCTGCATTTAGAATAACTCCCAAAATTTTAAATGAGACTGGATTTGTTTGATTTTAAAACGTGTGGTTGTGACATTGAATACAAAACCGTAATTCTGGCGCTGATCTATTTTAAAACCTGGAACTTTTCAGTCCTGTTCACCAGATTGAAGAGTACCACAGCTATAGCCAAATATTTGAGTCTAAATCCACTTTGCATTTCATGTTAAAACAGAATTGAGGTTTTGCAAATCCATTTGATGTTGCTTTTTTTTTCCCATGATTATTTAGGAGCCCTGAAATCTTACCTGAGGGAGCTGCCTGAACCTCTGATGACCTACCAGCTGTATGAAGAGTGGATCCAAGCCTCAAAGTAAAGCATATTCACATATAATACATCAAAGTCCATCACTTCAGTGCCTTTGTATTCAGAAGGTTTTTCAGTGAGTCTCATCAAATCTTGAACATTAGTTTGCATGACTAACTTAAGTATGAGCATAAAACCATATTAGCAAACAAACAATGAATAGCAAAAAGGTGAGAAGTGAGTAGCTTGAGAATTACCACATGACTTAGTTTTGTAGAGCAACTAATATAGTAATTCTATATCAATCATAATTTATCGAAACCAACAACCAGTCATTTAAATGCTTTAATTCAAGATATACCACCATTCAAAAGTTTGCAGTTAATATTTTTGTGTAAACCATTATACATTTTTTCAGGACTCTTTGATTAATAGAAAGCTCAGAAGAGCTGTAACATTGTAAAAGTCTTTACTGTCACTTTTGAGCAGGTTTGCTAAATAATTTTATTAATTAAAAAACAAAACGGATTGATAAAGATTTCACTAGGTTTATTTTTATTCACATAAAATTCGTGCTTTGTCATCAGATTTTATCACAGCTGTGAATATTCCATTGTTTTGATTTCTACAACAAAATATGTGGCACAACTTCAGTAGAAATTAGTGCTGTCAAACGATTAATCGCATACAAAATAAAAGTATTTGTTTACATAATATATGTGTGTGTACTGTGT